TAAATCATCAAACACAACCTGGACTTAACTAAGCAACTTAAAACTGATGGATAAATTAAGTAGCTAAATAATTTCATGTTCACGTATTGATTTTACATAAGGTCAGGGGTCTAGAAGAAAGAGTAATCAGGATCTTTGCAGCAAAAGGAATCGAAACCTATCTAAGACTTGCAGATACCCTGAGACGATTTAACATTTCAAAACAGAAGCCTGCAAAAACATTCAGGCCATAAAAGTGTAATAAGCATCTGTGGTATAAAAGTCTTTGGGGTTTTATGAGACTAACGTGAGAGGGTTTGTGTCGACTTACTGCAGTGCTCCATCCAGGGCATCTGCCTGACAGCCCTGGGCAACTTAATCAGTGCCATGTTGTAGCTGTTGTCGACATCTTTCAGCAGTTGGTTGATTTTCTCCTTCAGTTGTCCGACTCTGGTTTTCACTAGAAAAACAACAGGTGGTGTTAGTGTTGACGCAGCGTCACAGAATACACAACCTCCTTCAACGTTTTAACATAAAAAATTTGAAGATAACAGGTTTCAATAACTTGTTGTCAGAGAGTTAGAGAAACAACATCATTATCAGTTTGTGGAAACCATTTTTTAAAAGGTCCAGTGTGTAAGATTTAGGTGAAAGGGATCTGTTGACAGACATTTACTATAGAATAATCCTTGTGATGTCTCACCAGTGTGTTTCATCTGAATTGTACAAATTTACCCTAGAATGGTCCCTTTCAATTTAAATACTTTATATTTACATAGGGAGCAGGTCCTCCCTACAGAGGCAGCCATGTTTTTTTACAGTCGTACAAACTGTACAAATGAAACACCTTTTGTTTCTATGACGTACAACAAGTATTCTGCATTTCTAGAACCACAACACCTCAACTACAAATTAAAGGCACTTTTAGAGATATATTGCACCTTTTTTCCTACAAAGCATATTGAGACTTAAAACTCTAAAATATTACACTTCAATTAAAGTACAAATACACGGAAGTAATGTCATTTGCATGGTGAGAAGTGTGTGACATGCTGTGATAAGGCTTCAGTGGTTGTGTGGTGACTCATTTGAAGTTTCCCCTGCACGGTGACTGAGTGTGTGTGTTCACCCTCGCTGTCGAAGTCCTCCAGGAAGGCTTCGAGCTTGGCGGACTTGGGGTTGTTCTTCTGCTGCCTGGTGGTTCTCTTCCTGGGGGCCATGTCTGCGGACACCGAGACACTGAGAAACAACACAACCCACCGGACTCCATCATTATCTCTCCGAGCAGAGGAGAATCGTAATGAACCACAGCGAGCTAACCGTTAATGCTAGCTACTTAGCAAGAGCCACGTCCTCCTCCGGCTAATGCACCGACTTCCTTCATTGTATGACATCATCCACGAGTACGAGTACCTCACAAACACCTTACACTGTCGCGTTCCACCAGCGTGTCGTGTATTCTGCAGATATTTCATTACCTGCTTGTGTTTTCGCCGCTCGGATTCTTCGCTCTTCCTTCTTCTCGGGGGGCACTTTTCAAATCTGCGCGCGGGGAGGGACCCACATCCCGAATCAGCCAATCGGGACGCGCGTTTCTTTTACGTCGCGGTAAAGGCAGCTCTCGGCCAATCACGGCGCGCGTTGACGGCGCTTACGTCACAGGGCCGGAAATGGTGTTCGAGCAACATGGTGCGAAACGTGATGTTTCCAGCAGCAGCGTAAACAAAGTGTTCAAGGCTGAATGGAAGCGAATTGCGATGTTATTGTGTCTTAAACTAGAGATTTAGGTTTTAACTACCTTGATTTATTTATTACGCGCACGCGGGAATCTTTTTAAAGTGGATTTATGAGTAAAAATCGGCTCCTGAAATGTCCAAACCCGCGGTGTTATCGCTCCATCAGGCGCTGAGGAAAAGCTTCAAGACTGTGGAGACCAATCAGAAAGTATGGAGGAGCGCGGTGGCCGAGTGCGACCCCCTGATGGTGTCTCTGGGGAATCTGGCGGAGCAGAGCAGCGCCTTGTCCCGCATCCACATCCCGGACACGCCGCTCAGACACTTCCCCGACCTGGAGGATCGTCTGAGGTTCAAACTGTCCCTGGCCACAGACACGGTCCTGCTCCGACTCCACGAGAAGATGTGAGTGGATGGGATGAAGAGTGCAACGCCGATTCAGAAATAACACTTGAATATCCATATTCGTGTGCACCGTTTTCATTTGCATTGTTTGTGTAGTCTGAGATTCTCATGTTTTATTTGCTTCTTCTGCTTAGTTTGAATGACAACAAATCTCTGGTCACTGGCTTATGGCACTTTACAAGCAGCATTGCTGTGTTTCGTCCCTGTTTCGCTGGCAGATGCCACTGGTGTACCACTCTTGGTGTAGAGCCAGATTTTTTATTATTTATGTACAGGCACCTTTCATAGCACACAGGGCAGAGATAGAAACAGAACAAAAACACCAATGTATCAAATGGTCAATAAGATTTAGGACAGGACACGTTTTTTTTTATCTATCCATCCATGAATCCCTTCTTCTCTCTTTCCCTCAGGTCCTCTCTCCAGTCTGCTCGAGATGCCATCAGCAACCAGGTCGTTACGGTCCTCCAACTTTACGAGCAGAACGCAGACAGCCTGGATGTTGTCACTGTAACCGAGCGCTCGACAATCACCCCGTCTATCGCTGACATGCTGGAGTGGCTGCAGGATGCTGAGCGTCACTATCGGCAACAGTATCCTTTTATATATTTGTTTGCATTGGATTATGCGTTACATTTGTGGTTGCTGTTTTTTTTCCCTCAACTCGTGTGTTCAGATTCCTGAGGAGGAAAACACTTCTTCAGATGCTGAGAGCCGAAAATCTCTCTCTTTTAGAATCTGCTCCCACGAGATGGAAATCGCTGGAGTCTCCAAGTGCAGAAGACTGCATCACAGGTAACAATCCCCTGTATAGTGTTTGCATTAATGTTGATATAGCAAGTTATAGATCTAAAAATTATATTTTGCAACTTTGGTTCGTAAAGGGCCTTGAAAATATATTAGAAGTATGCTGCATTTGGAAATATATGTGACAAGTTTTTATAGGTTAAACAACTTTAAACATTAAGTAACACCATTAGAGACCATTTTAACCAGTCCACTCACTCGTGAATGTCTAATGACACATTCTGGGTTTTGTAGATGTGGCTTTTATTGACTTAGATAGTTGATCAAAGCATGTGAAGTCATACAAAACTCTCTTTTGTGCAATAAAATCTTGAAATTACTGTTAAAGGGGTTTGGTTGTCCTGTTCCAGCAAACATCTACAAGTAATTTTCTATCGTGACCTGATTACGTCTCTGTCCTCTTTCAGATTTACTTTGCAAAGTGTCCTTCTTTGTGGATTCTGAGTGAGGACATTAATTAAGTGGAACTCTGAGCAGCTCTGGAATTTGGAACAGAACTTCCTAAATGCACGTGTTCAGATTGGATGAATGTTCGTCTGATAGACGTCCTCAGATCTGTTCGAAGATGGAAAGTATCTGCTAGCACCAGACTGTAAACACCTTCAAGTAGTACCGCAAGATGAAGGGGAGAAAAACCACAGATCAGGACACTGCGGCACCATTTCATACTGAGATATGAAAATGACTCTCTATATCGTCTGTGATGGCAAAAATGACCCAAAGCAAAGATTTTTTTCAGGGAAATCCAGCACGCACAAATCACACTTTACCAAACTCATTTTATTTCACATTTTGGATGTTTGCAAACTGTCAAGGCTTTATGTGTCAGATGTAGAGGTAATGACATTGTCAAAGAATAAATAAGAAATCACTGCATTCTTCACAACACAGCCATCATTAAAGCCATCTCAACATTCACACTTGTTTTGTGAATGCTGTTGATTTGACGTTAAAGGCATCGGGCTCTCTTCAGGCACTACTACAGATCACAGAGCAGTAAAAGTCAAACTTCACACAAACATGAATGTGTTTAAATACTGAAAGACGAGTTTAACAATACAAAGAGATAAACAAACGAAACAAAATATAAATTAAATATATGATAAATATATAGCTCTCAATTTGTAGCTTAAAAGTCACAGACCTGAAACCTGGGACAGTAAGTTTGGGAAAGAACCAGAGATACAGTTTTTAACAGCATCATCTTCCCCCTCTCTCTTCCTATACGTACTCCTTCAGTGGTAGACTGTTGGATGTGATGGGTTTTGGGGGATCCGCCGCTGATGCGGGTGAATTAGCAAAGCTCCGACCGATGTAACCTCTGCGGTATCTGCCGCTCCTCTCCATGAGGGGGCAGGTGCTGCTCAGCACGGCTCCACTGATCATGAGAATAACAGCAGACGCCCAGCCCAGGTAGATGGCCTGACCCAGCTCTCTCTTGTGCATCAAGGGCACGTTGGGGTTGTAGAAATCCTGGACCACGGTGTTGGCGGTCCAGGAGACGGGAATCAAAACGCACAGGCCCGTGAGAATGAAGAGAACCCCGCCCGAGAGCGCAATGCCGGCCTTGGCCCGTCGGTCGTCCCCAGCGCAGGTGGTGCACTTCATGCCGCAGCAGGACACGGTGCAGGACAGCCAGCCCATGAAGATGGCCAGGCACATGAGGGCGCGGGCCGCCTGGATGTCCGGCGGCAGCGCCAGCATGGAGTCGTATGTCTTGCACTGCATGTGACCAGTGGTCTGGTAGATGCAGTTCATCCAGATGCCCTCCCATTTGATCTCCGAGGTCAGGATGTTGCTGCCGATGAAGGCCGAGACCTTCCACTGGGGCAAGGCCGTGACGGCGATGGCCATGATCCAGCCGGTCACCGCGCAGGTGAAGCTGATCAGCTGCATGCCAGTGTTCACCATGATGACAACGACCTCCTTGTTGTCTCACAGCTTCTCCTGAGCGATCACCAATATCTTATATGTTCTGTTTGTGGTGAGAGTTTGTTTTTGTCCTTCAGTTCTTCAAAGTCTCCAACTTGGATTTACTCGTCTTTCTATCGTCTGGCTTGTCCTCGTCTCTCAAGGTCCTCGCCCCGCTCTCACTTTGTCAGCATCCATATCCTTATCTTTTCCTTTTCCTGCTCAACATCTGCTCAATGTTTTCAGTTTCATGTCTGCTCAATTCTCGGGGTTATCCAGATGTAATCGCCGGCTTTCTCTCGAAAGTAGTCCGCCTTTTCAAAGGATGAGTCTCACACACTTTCCCCTTTTTCTTTCTGCTGCTGAGTTTGAGTCAATGCATTATTGAGTAGCCCATAGCTGTGCAGCCACCTGTGACAGCGGGCAGGAGCAGGGATCAATCAGACTTCACTTTCCAGGCCTTGTAGGCAAAAGATGGATCTCAGCCAGGCTCGATTTTTTGCTGTATGAAAGTGGTTCCTCTGCCGTCTTCTGTGGTTCAAACCCAGGGGGCCGTCTGTTGAGCTGCAGTGTATTTCAATGCCGCTCTCCTGGTTTGGTGTAGCCTTACCTACGTGGACCAGACAGATAAAACCTGATACTTGGATTCAAGGCCACTGATGCTGCTGAGTGTCTCCTGTCACAGACAGGTTGAAAACAGTGAAGCTTGGTTACACAGAATAAAAATCGTCCTGGCTTTGTTCCCCCGAGTCGACGGAAATCCAATGTTTGGTCCTCACAGAATAAATAAAAGAGATAATCCACAGGAGATGAACAATCGGCCGCACAAGTCAATCAAAAAAAGGGTTTTCTGGTGATTTATTTGAGGTTTCCAGAGGGAAACAACCAGCAGATCTCATCAGCAGACACCGCTGCTGCTGCCAGCTGAAGTGCGTCCTCAGTGACAATAAACACGCCGGGGTCCAAGCCTTGACGAGGCCACTTCAGACTTCAGCAGCCGCTCGGCTTCACCCTCCCCCCGGCCGCTTTCCTTTGGTATCCACGCAGCCCAAATGGGTCAATCCTGTTCCAGCAAGAGCATAAATAACAAATCAGGGCAGAGTAGTGAGACTTCTGGGTAAACGGAGCATCATGTCCAGGCCTCCCATCTTCAGTACGGCTGGTGACAGTCAAACCTGGGAGAGCAACACTGAACCCCAGGAAAGAAACACACAGGGATGCAGGAGGGAGGGGAGAGAGGGCAAAAAGAGGGTGAGACAACAAAAGGAGTGTGAGGTGGATGGAGCAGCGTCTGTAGGTGGATCAGTTCACACAAAGACAACATAGAGGGGCCTCGACAATGGGGATTACACCGTTTGTGTCGCTCCGTGCAGCACAAACTCACGCATATTTTTAAAGGAGCTTTCACAAAAATTAGCTTTCATTTGCCCTTTTTGTCCGACGCAGCAGTGAAAAGGTGAAACAGCTTTGCAAAGTGGGGTCACGGTTCCTCCAACAATGAGGTCGACGAGCTGAAAATCCACAGGTTGGAGCTCAAAAAAGTCACACGTCATTGTGTCCCGACAAAACGCCGAATTTTGAAGCCTTTTGTGTTTGACCTTAAATATTTTTGATAGCAGAAATGGCAGGTTTATATACATCAGCTCATTCGTTGCAGTTATTCTGAATATCTTTGTAACAGCTGCAGGAGGAACAGACTTTGTGTAACAGGAGGTTGTGACAGCAGCTCTTTGTCTCCACATGCAGAAATGTCCTTTTTTCACCCAAGGCTGCTCCATCTGCATCACACTGAGCCGTGGTGGTGTTCCATTGTGCTGATGAATTAAATATCGAGGCATCAAGATCTCTGGCTCAGGTTTCGTGTCTTCTGTAGCCTCCGCTCTCCTTGGCAACAGTGGCCATGGCAACCAGCGCAGGACACAGGAAACGGGAGAGAGGAGAGGGGACGATACACAAAAGGGAGGCAGAGGAAGGTGACACACTGTGGCGTCGCAGTGGTACTTCTGTTCATCCGCAAAGATAAAACAATTGACCTCCTTTAATAGAATAGAAATAAAAATCTTTTATCAAATTAAACATGTTAATAGAATCGAATAATGATTTCTCTTCTATCAGTTTGTGTTTATTTATGTTAAAATTTGTCCACAACCCCTGGTGATGTATTA